AGATGTTGCAGGTATGTTTGTACTACTGTGTTACAAAACCTATTAAGCATTAGCATTAGCGACACATTTCAGAAGTTCGTCTTTGCACAGGCTTATGATACACAAAAGTATGCTTGTTCACTATTTTGTCTTTGAGCAAAGCACTTAAGCTCTACGTACTTGTAATAAGTGTCCTGTAAATCACTTTGGATTAAAGCGTCAGTGAATAATAACTAATCGCAAGAATGACTAGAATGACTAAATGCTGTAATTATTCAATTCTGTCGCCGCAGGGGCGTCTTTTCTCCTATCCAGACACACATAGGCATCGGCTCGGAGCGAATTACCTCCAGCTGCCCGTCAACTGCCCCTACCGCACCCGTGTGGCAAACTACCAGAGAGACGGACCCATGTGCATGTTTGACAACCAGGGTGAGTGACACACACTACAAACACTGCAGAACAAGACGCAATGTCACATATTGGGTTTGGTTTTGAGTAAGAAATAGTATTAGGGCCAGATTTACTAACAGCTTGCACCAGCGCAAACCATCTTTAGGCATTAAAATAGTAGGATTTACTAAAGACGCGCATTGTCAGTAAATCACATGCAGAATTTTCCCCTCCCATCTGCACTTTTATGGAATTGCGCTCTAAAGCTAATTTGCCCTGTTTAGTAAATCTAGCCCTAAGTCTCTTAAAAGTGACTCAGATTAACAACGCAACATCTGTCTGGAATGCCTGATCAGGACATGTGACCCAAATGCTTGCAATTCATTGGTCGTTGAATTATTGGTTTGGCAAATACAACAGCAGTTCCTTTCCTGTCCTGCAGGGGGAGCGCCTAACTACTTCCCCAACAGCTTCAGCGCTCCTGATACCCAGCCGCGCTTCGTCGAGTCCAAGTGTAAAGTGTCTCCTGATGTGGCCCGATACAATAGCGCAGACGATGACAATGTGACCCAGGTGTGTTGCCGAATTTGTCTGCGTCTTTGTACGAATAATCACAATTAAGGTGAGTTATAACCATAGACTGTAAAAAAAGATGGATGACACGTCTTCACTTCCTTCCACTATAGAAAAGTGAAGCCAAAACATCTCAGTATAGCTGGTGCCATCTTGAGTAAATTATGTCATTTGGAGCCAGAGTCTGCGCAGTAGAGATACATTTGGAGCCAGAGTCTGCGCAGTAGAGATTCGTTTGGAGCCAGAGTCTGCGCAGTAGACATACGTTTGGAGCCAGAGTCTGCACAGTAGAGATTCGTTTGGAGCCAGAGTCTGCACAGTAGAGATACGTTTGGAGCCAGAGTCTACGCAGTAGAGATTAGTTTGGATGTTTACTCAGTTCGCAATGAGTAAAATAATGCAGCGCATTAATTGTCAATTCAAATAATGGTCTATAAAAATGTCATAACGTCTAAATTAACATATATATAAATCAAATATAATTTAGTAAACTGCATAAACAATTATGAACAAAACAGCATCATGCGTTTATGCATTGCTTAGCCTAATACAAAGAGCCAAATCGCCGATCACACAGATTCCATTTAAAAACATACGAGACGCAGTGAAATGAAATAAACCTTCACAAATTCGCGTTGCGTTTTCTAAACGTTAAAACTGTTTTAACTTTGCATTACTTTCTTTGCATCTCTTGTGTGAGACGCGAGTGCAGCAGTCATATTTGTCCGTCTAAATATGCGTTCTGTGGGAATGGCTTGGTTTCGGTTTTAACCTAGTCAAGATCTTCTACGCATTGAGCTACTATATTTCTCTAATATTTTGAACAAATAACAGCAGCGGCGCGTCTCGTGGGCTAGACTAACAAAACATTCAAATGCATTTTTAATATCGTTATCGATGAAGGTGTACCGTCGATAAATATCGATACCGTTTTATCGCCCAGGCCTAATTGGAAGTGTCATTTATTTTTTTATTTTGACTCAAGTCCCATTCGTTTACATGGAGAGGGCGGGGTTTATGACCTGTACTGCAGCCAGCCACCAGGGGGCGATCAAAGAGTCCGCAGCTTCACTTTTCAGGACGTGTGAGGCACACCAGGTTATAACATTTCCCGTTCTGATGTGTTCCACAGGTGCGCTCTTTCTTCACTCAGGTGTTGAACGAAGCTGAGCGAGAGCGTCTGTGTCAGAACATGGCCGGCCATATAAAAGGAGCTCAACTGTTTATTCAGAAACGTGCGGTATGATCTTTTTTTTGGTCCTATGAGTTTCTTGGTCATGCAAACTAGTCAAACTTCTCCTTAGTAGTTATTGAGGATTATGTAAACATTCCTGGATAAAATCGCTTGATTTTAGTTGATTCAGATTTTTGTGATATTTATTTATTTATTTTTTTGCAGGTGCAAAACCTGATGGCCGTTCACCCCGATTATGGCACTCGCATTCAAACTCTCCTGGATAAATACAACACGGAAGGGAAAAAGGTAGAAAACATTCTCATCAGTCTCGCGCACAAAAAAATTTGGTGAAAAAATTTCACTTAGAAATTGCTAGTAAGTTGTACAATTAATTACAAAGAAATGGCAAGTACAATAAATAGCCAAAGACTAAAATAGGATTTTCTTGGAAAATGTACTCACATAAGCTATTATTTACAGCTTTGAATTTTTTTTTACAGCGTATGTTATTTTAGTGTGTATCAAAATTGTTATAGTTAATCATTATAGTTCAAGTTTAAATATTATAGCTATGAGTAAAACCATTAAAAAAATTAACTGAATGAAAACATAAAAAGCTGAAATAAAATATTATAATTCTATATATTTAAAAAAAGCTATATTAAAAAAACACACACACAACAACATTAAACCAAAACTAAAATGTACATTTAAATGATAATAATAATAATAAAATAATTTTTTCTCACACAATTAATTACTTTTTTCCCTCTGAATTCTTTTTTTTTTTTTTGGTCCTATGAGTTTCTTGGTCATGCAAACTAGTCAAACTTCTCCTTAGTAGTTATTGAGGATTATGTAAACATTCCTGGATAAAATCGCTTGATTTCAGTTGATTCAGATTTTTGTGATTTATTTATTTATTTATTTATTTTTTTTTGCAGGTGCAAAACCTGACGGCCGTTCACCCCGATTATGGCACTCGCATTCAAGCTCTCCTGGATAAATACAACACGGAAGGGAAAAAGGTAGAAAACATTCTCATCAGTCTTGCGCACAAAAAAATTCGGTGAAAAAATTTCACTTAGAAATTGCTAGTAAGTTGTACAATTAATTACAAAGAAATGGCAAGTACAATAAATAGCCAAAGACTAAAATAGGATTTTCTTGGAAAATGTACTCACATAAGCTATTATTTACAGCTTTGAATTTTTTTTAGAGCGTATGTTATTTTAGTGTGTATCAAAATTGTTATAGTTAATCATTATAGTTCAAGTTTAAATATTATAGCTATGAGTAAAACCATTAAAAAAATTTACTGAATGAAAACATAAAAAGCTGAAATAAAATATTATAATTCTATATATTTAAAAAAAAGCTATATTAAAAAAACACACACACAACAACATTAAACCAAAACTAAAATGTACATTTAAATGATAATAATAATATAATTTTTTCTCACACAATTAATTACTTTTTTCCCTCTGAATTCTTAGTTTATCTTGCAATTCTGTTTTTCCCTTGCATTTTTAGACACCTGACCTGTAGACATGCAGAAGTTTGAGGAAAAAAAGTCATAATTGCAAGATTAAAAAGTCCGAATTACCTTGTTTTATTCTGTGGTGGAATTAAGCATTATTTTCTCTGTCTTCTTTATCTCTCCAGAACACTATTCATGTTTATACTCGTGGTGGAGCGTCTGCTGTGGCCGCTGCTTCTAAGATGTGATTTCAAAGTGCCGCCTCTCTGCACACACATATAAACACATTCATTCTCTTATAGAGTGGGATATAGAGTCATGATGCTTAATTCGTTCCTTGTGTGCATCATATCTAATATGGCCAATTCACAACACAAGTGATATTAGCAAATGCAGCGCTGATTCCTTATTCATGATTAATGCCGTCAAACCAAATGGAGGCCTTTGATGCATATACGCAAGTTTGAGCTTGTCCAAACTAAATAAGTCTGCATTTTGATTGTGTGCGAAATGTAGAATAGCCAAAAATAATCTGAGAATGAACACAAATGTTAATATTAATACTGTGTGAGCCTTTAGATTTTTTTTCTTTTCTTTATATCTTGGCTACTGATGCCGTTTAATGTTAAATAAGAGAAATGAACTCTTTCCGTCTCTTTTGCCTTTAACTGAATATAATTCAGTTCTGATAATACGAATGTAACACCTTTTGTCATTTTGTAATTAATAAATATGAATATTTGAGCTCTATGACTGAGTTGTGGATTTATTTTATGAATGCTGGTTGCTCTCTATTTCATTTTCATCTCTTACTTTAAAAAAAAATGTGAGCATGAGATTTGAAAGCTACGATGGAGGTCAAAGTTTAAGATAAATTAGTAACTTATAAATTTGAGGTAGTTCCTCCCACAAGAGACAAACTGCATGGCTTCTAAAGACTCAAAATATTGCATTCTGTTTAAAGAAAGAAAACTTTACAGGTTTTGAAAAAAAAATTTTGTTTTGAGTGAATTTCTCCTTTAATTGTTTTCTTCAGTGCTTACACAGTAGGGGGCGCCATTTTCTTACACAGGAACCCCAGATCCTAATATTTTGTAACGGGACACTGTGGCGACCACAGTGAACATAACTTGAATGATTTTTTATTTATTTATTTATTTTTTAAATGTGCAACTGTAGCATACATGCATCCTGAAAATTTGAGCTTTGGTGTTCCGATGCGGATGCAGGTTTGAGTACGGCTTGCATCCCATCCACATTTCTATCCTCTTAAAAACTCCCCTCTGTATTTTTCTTTCTAAAGAAAAGAGTTACAAGCTCGTAAAAAGTCAGAAATGTGGTAACGTAGCATTTTTAACCCAGTAAGAAATGTAAAGTTTATTAATGAATTTTTATGCATTTGTATTTATTTAGAATTCTTTAAAAATAGTTTTAACTTTTCATTTTAATTATGCGTTTTTTGACAAACCTAGAGATTTTGTCGAAATGGGTCCATGTATAGAAGCAGCACCCTGCCCTCATCTCTCTAGCAACAACCACATAATGAATGACCACTCTCTCCATCGCTCTGTCTCTGACTCCACCCATCTGCAGTGTTGTATAAGTAGTGTCCTGATCTTTCTCCTCAGTAATTCCTCTTCAGATTCTCCCAGGAGTTTCGACCCCTGACCTCCGAGGATGGATAACGCCACATACAGCTACGTGAATGACTGCACTCCGCTCACTAACTGTAAATCCGGCCGAAAGGCTGGCGGCTCCACGGTGGTCAACATGAGTCATGCGGGCAAGAAGCCACCAAACGACTACCTGATCTGGTCGCTCTGTAACACTCTTTATGTCAACTTCTGCTGCTTGGGATTCATGGCTCTGATCTACTCCATCAAGGTGAGCTTTAAACACAAATGTCTCATAATTTTCTTTCTTTTGAATATCTTCGTCTTTTGTGGCTTTCAAACTTCTTCAGAAATATTTCTGAATGTCACATGATGGACAATCAAGGTTCTAATTAGAACCAAAACGGGATTTGCCCTCCAATAGAAGAACCTATAGTTGATAAGAAAAAACATTATCTACTGATGCTTTAAAGAGTCAAGAAACACCATCTGAAGAACCAAAAATACAACATCAAGAACTTTTTGATCTCCAAAAGACCATAAAGCAACTCAAGAACCCTATAGAGACAAGATGCACGCTCTTTAAAATAAAGGCTCCAAAATGGGAATTTCACAGCAAGGCCATTTTTAGTTTCCCAAGCAAGGAACCTTTCAGTGAACAGATCTTAAAAGAACCATATTTTTCATTTTAATAATGTGAAGAACCTTTTTACACTATAAAGAGCCTTTTGTGAAATTAAAAGATTCCGTGAATGTTAAAGGTTCTCCATCAATGCAAATACATTTTAAGAGTGCAGTTAAGGTAGAGAAGGTAAGAAGGTTCTTTAATGCAAGGAACCATTGAAGAACCTTGATTTTTGAGGTGTTCATGTGTTAAAAGACAACTGTCTGAGACTTGTTTCCATCTGTTTGTTTTCAGGCTCGAGATCAGAAGACCTTGGGAGACATGCGTGCAGCACAGGAATGCTCGGACAAAGCGAAGTGGTACAACATTCTGGCATCGGGCTGGAATCTCTTGATTCCTCTGCTGGTGTTGGGTCTGCTGGTCTTGCTCGTGGTTCATCTGGGGAGCTCAGAGGGAACGTTTGATTTCTTCGGTGAAGACGGATTCCAGAGCTTCATGAAGCTCTTCAGCAGGTAGACAGAGCCACTCGAACAATCCCACCACCAAAAACTCCTGCAAACCTTCTGGACTGTTCACTCTCTCTTCACTTCATCAACATGTTATTTTCTTTGGCTCTGTGATGATTTTATTATTATTTAGATTTGTTTTGTTTATTTCTTTTTTCATAATGTCAATGTAGTGTATATTAACTCATATCTACCCTACAATTCTATTTTATGAAGTAAATTGGCTCAACTGTATTTAATAAAATATTTAATTTCCTCAATATAAGTCTCTTTGAACAGATTTCTGTCACCAGTGGGATAAATCATTACAGAGGTCACGTTAGTGATGTTGCTGCGAATTTTCGCGGGCAAAAAGTCCATTATTAATAGTTTAGGGATGTATAAAGCATAGCTCGCACAGAAGTCACTTTCAAACCAAGCAGAGTTCTGTTAATGAGCGCGTGTAAAACAATTTTTTTCTATATCTATATCGATATCGATAACTATATCGATTTCACCCGCGAAGTAAGATTTGATTCACGAACAAGTGATTCTTTTGATCCGGTTCTTTTTAATGATTCCCATGTATATTGTGCATGTAAATAACTTGTTTAGAAGTAAAACTATAAGGTGGGTCACGTTAGAACCATAAACAATGCAAAATCTGTGTAATTTAAGTAGAAAGATAACCATATATATATATTTTCCCTGCTGAGAAATCATTTTGCTGGTCTTCCAGTCTAGTCAGGCTCAACTTTTTGCTAGTTTTGGCCACTTTTCAGCTGCAACACAATCTTAAACTAGCTTGACCTGGGTAGGAGACCAGCTAGACCAACCTGAATCATGTAAAGCTGGTTTAAGCTGTTTTTTTCTTGTCAGCAGGGAAGTTAATTGGGTTATGAGGAACAAGTTAACATGACTTCTGTGCTGTGAGGCTTTCTGAGAGCTGCTGCTAGAGAGACTGGAGGGATGCTGTGGTTTAGTTCTCATGTGTCTCTGTAATGTTCAGCTGTGCCGCCTGTGCTTACAGCCGTGGACCCTCCCAGTTCTACTGGTATTTTTATCATTTAAATGACAGAGCTGTTTGCCAACCTTCACTCCCCTTCTATTTCAGTCGGTATACAGAGTGGACACAGATGTGGAGGGACTCGATTACAGAGCAGTCAGCATACACACACACACACACACACACCCTCATGTAGACCTTCATGCCTGTGAGACGGTGTCTATTTCTCATCCGTGTGGATTCTGGCTGATTCTTCATTTGAACTATCAATTAAATCTCAGAGGTCTTTGATGTTCAGATGCACATTTCAGATTAGATCTGTAAAATATTGCTTTGTCGTGCTATAATTCTTTTAATTAATTAATTGGTGTGTTGAGGTTCATGAAACATGTCAAGAACAAGTCTGGGTAATATAATGCCAAATTTAAAAGAACATAAAAATATGACAATTTAGTGAATTGGTTGCAGAAAATCTCAGTATAAAAGCAATAAATAAAATAATACAATTAAAAAAGATATTTAATATGTATACATAATAGTATTGGTAATGCTGCATATATATAGAGAGAGAGAGAGAGAGAGATGCTAATGTATATTAAGAAAGTCATGCAAAATAGGTTTATATATGCAAACTAAAAAAAAAAGAAAAACATGAAAAAATATAAAATAAATATATATATTATATATATATACAGTATGTGTGTGTATGTATATATGTGTAAGACTTTTATGTTTTATTTTTTGGGGAGTACACAATATGATGTGAGCATGTTTGTTCATATTGCACAGCGTTAACATCATAGTACAGTATATTTTTATCAGACGTTAAAGATATGTTCATAGAATTGCCTGCATGAAACCCTGATTTTAGGCCTCTGTGATTTACTGTCTCACTTCAGATGACCTTGCACCTGCACTGATACTAAGTTGCTCTTTTGGTTCACATGGCCTTCAACATGTTCTTTTGATAAAAAGACGCTGAATAATTACTTTGTGACTCAATTAAAATATGTTTAGACTTCGACTAGTTGGCATTTTTTCCAGGGAGCGAAAGAGAGGAACACCTGCAATAAGATCACTGGTTAAAAACTGTACAAAAATGTAAACTAAGTGAGATATTCAGATCTTCTGCAGGAATCTCGGCTTTGTTGTCTCCACCAAAAGTCTAATTTTGGCATCTGGAACTCCACAACTTGAGTGTTTCTAGCTCTATTGTAACGCAACATGCATGCTAATATGTCCAAATCCAAAAAAACGAATGATTTGCTTCTGGTGAGTAGTCATTTCGCAGTACATAAGCATTCATTTAGACTCTTATATTTGAGGCTATTTACAGTGCACTTATTACAGGGACAGTCCCCTGCAGCAGCAGGTTAGTTGCTTTGCTGCATGGAGGACAGCAGTGATAACCTCTTGTGCTAGCTTGTGAGCTAGTGTATTGTTCTCAGATTTTCTTGAATTGAGTGATTACAGCTTCTGTTTTCTGCTGTCTGCTTTTTCTTCATTAGAGTTGCAGTAGGATTCTTCTGCTTTCAGGAGGAAGCAGAAGGGTTTTTAGCTGCCGTGGTTTGAGCACAACCACATTAGGGAGGATCACACACATAAACACCCACAAACTGAAATTACCCCTGCAGCAGACGTCTATATGCAGCCGATCTGAGAGAACTGAGGGATAATCTAGCCCTTCCGCATGGTTTGGGGCTCTATAATGATGCTCGGTAGTTTCTGGGTGGCTTTCAGCTCCCACCCAGTTTTAATAACAGGTAGGACATCGGACTTGGTATATTTGTTATCAGTTAGTAAAGATCAAGGACTTAACTCATATTACAGCAGCTCTCTGCGACTTCAAGTTGGTTGCCTACTAAATATTTTATGTCCTCATTTGTCACAAAAACGCGCACACACACACACACAAGCAAATGCCAGTGACACTGTCCTTGAAAAAGTGACATCATTTTGGTGAGAAAATCTCAAAAATATTTGCCTCACATATTCCATCCTATTATATATAGCCTATATTATCAGGGTTATTATAGTTAGCCTATAGGTTATGTAAAAGTAAAATGAAACTATTGGGAACAATTGTTTGAAATAAAATAAAATAAAAGCTGTAAAAAAATCGAGTTGCCAAGGCAACATTTAAACATTTTAATTTAGTTTAACTCGTTGCTACTAAAGTAACAAAAAATTAAACTATATAAACATAAAAAACTACTAAAAGTGACAAAACACAACAAAAGTACTAAAACTTTATCAAAACAAAAAGTTGAGACCCTTTAGTAATGAACAACTTTAATTTTGAGCTGTACTTTTTTTTGTAAATAAAACGATTTTTGTGTTTTTACAAGAAAATACTGTCGGTCTTATTAAATATTTAATTTTTCTTTATAATTGTGAAATTTCCTAGCAATTTCTGAGTACAAATGATTTCTACACCATTTTTTTCCAGTGTGCTTTTACATCATTTCCATACCATTGTGTTATCAAGTTAAACGTTTCTGTTCCTGAACTTACCCAGAAAACAGCATTCATTCTTAACTACAAAGCTCGAATGGTATTACGTCACAAGAATGACCCAAATAATACTGTTATGCTGGATGTGTGTTACTATAAATCTACAAGATGTTTGGTAATACTTGTGATTTTCTGTGTCACAAGACCCCAGTCAACAGTGTGTGCTTGTAAAGGTATTAAGAACAATAGACTGTTATTTTTAACTATTATATCTTTAGAAAAAAACACAAATTAGACGAGACACAACTTAAGTTTATATGTACACATTTATTAAAGGAACTTCTTTACAACAATGACAAATATGGCTCAGGATTGTGATTTTGCTCATGAAAATAAAGCTACATTTTCAACCACAAAATACACATGAAATGTAAAAGTGAAAAAACAATAAATAAATAACTTAGGTCATTACAAAATATATACATGCTGATATATATATATATGACAACAATAAATAGGCTTACTTGTCCTGACTTTAATTTAAAGTTACTTATCAGTTGTAAACTGTAGAGCAGCCAGAGCTGCTTCTACATGTTTAAATGGCACATACAGCAGTGAATAAATACTTGATCACGCAATAACTTGAGTCAGACTCTGTGACGTCATTACTTCCGGCCTTTTCCCGCCACCACTCTGTGACGCACGCATCGGTGCGCTTTTTTTCTTCAGAAGATGCGTTTCATTCCAAGCTTCCGCTTTCCTTATGAACGCTATCCGTTTTCTTCCTCTTCCCATAAAAATCTACAAGAAAACAAATTCACAACATTAAAACACGAACGCTATATATATATATATATATAGATATAAGGCTATATGACTAGTATTTATTGTACAGCAGTATTATTGGTCGCGTGTTGTCGAGGTAGCGTTACCTGTAATGCGCATGTCTGCGAGTCTCTTGGTCTGGACGCGAGCGACTGCTTTGCGAGATAATGTTCTTCGGGTACACTTGTTTATATGGTTCAAAATCTTCACTGAACGACCCACACATTTTGGGGCAACTTGGGTGATTCTTTCTGTCGCGGGCAAGTCCACAAAAGGCCTCTTGGATACGGCAGTCGTTTGTCTGTAGAACCGCGGACAGTCCTCAGCTCGACTTTCCTCCCATCTTAAATCCCCATCCAGCGGCTGTCCTTCGCTGAAGTTAAAGTTCCACCTCAGCTGATCTCGTTCAGATATTTCGCGAAGCTTGGAGGATAATTCTTGCCTCAGCTCGTCGTGATCCACCGGTCCGAATAGATTTCTGCATGTTCCCGGGCGCTTCTCTGCGCTCCTCTGAGGAACAGTCTTCGGTGGAGCCAGTCTTTCCCCGGCGATGGTGGAAAGCAGGACGGCACACATCGTCGACAGCGGACCAACCCAGAATAAAAAGGGCCAAATAATTTTTAAAAAAGGGCAAAAAAAGTCAGTGTGAATTACAACACACCTCGGACCTGTCCGTGATTTAATCTCGTCAGATTTAAAGTCCTGCACCTCAGCGGTGTAGAACTACACGCTCTACTCCTATTGGTCAACATCCCCCGTCCTTTTGGCCCTGCTGTTAGACCCGCCTCTACTCCTCTGTGATTGGTTAGACCCGCATATATTCTGCTGTGATTGGTTGTGCATCGTTGCCGTACTCTTACACTCACATTGCACCACCCGGAGTAGAGTACGCTAAACTAAAGATAACCGTCTAATTAAAAACGAATTATAATCCAATACATCGAAATGATAGCCATCAAAAAAGTGTTCAGTTAGATGCTTAAAACGTATTTTCTAAAGAATATGTGGTAGGTAGGCCTATATGTGTGTATAAAAATTAATTTGACAGTTTGATTGGAATAATACACAATAAAAACATTCTATTCAAGTGACATTTATTTCTATTTCCCATAAAATTGTCTCTTATTTAATTTGAACACGTTCTTCACTGACACGGTTTCATTCTTGGTAAACAAGTAACTACACTATAAATGATTTTATTATTATGTTCATATACATTTTTTTACATTTTGAAACAACGTGTTTATTTCACACTTTTTAAGGCATAATAATTAATATTTTTACTATGGATTTTTATATTTTAATATTAAAATATGGGTCTGGGACAAGGAAAAAACCCCAATAGAGTCTGATTGAAGTATTTAAAAGTAGCAAATCTAAATCAGTGCTTTATTATATTCATTTGTATTAATATGAAGTTAGAAACTTATGATAAAATCATGAACTTTCCAGTTCAGTGTTAATTTGAGCTTCGCATATCAAAAAGACAAGGGTTGAAATCTTGTAGCAAAATCAAGCCCTGAGTCAAGATTCTGTAGTTGAGGGGGAGAGAAAAGAAGAAGAAATGATGTTTCTGTTCAGTAGTTGAGCTTTGTGTCTGTGAATAGTGCAACAGCGCCCCCTTTTAATCACAGGGTAGTATTACGTTAAATAAACTTTGAGGCAAATCTAAATCAGATCAGATAAGTTTATGGCCTTGTTAATTGCTGGCTTCACTCTGCATAATCTGCATGTATTAGTGGACAAATGAGTCTGAATTGGAGTCTAACAAATACACACAAATCTTGCTCTGCAACATGCAAATATAACAAGGTTTATTATGAGAGAGAGACACAGAGTTCAGGCTTAGTAAGAGTACAGTTCAACCCTTACAATTATAAATAAGTGAACTGAGCTCTACTGAGAACCACTGACATGCTGAGACTGACTGAGAGCTGAATCTGCTTCATGTAAAAGCACAAATCTTGCTCTGCAACATGCAAATATAACAAGGTTTATTATGAGAGAGAGACACAGTTCAGGCTTAGTAAGAGTACAGTTTAACCCTTACAATTATAAGTAATTGAACTGAGCTCTACTGAGAACCACTGACATGCTGAGACTGACTGAGAGCTGAATCTGCTTCATGTAAAAGGTTTTAGAGCTGTAGTCTAAACAGAAACACCATTACTAGGCCAAAGCAGGAGCTAATGTGTTGTGCATAAACAGACTGCTTACACAATGTATGGATGTTATCACAGTGTTGTCGTCTATTAGTGTTAAAGCTCCTGGTTTAATGTATTTTTTTTTACCGTGGAAGGTATGGTCTCTCAGAATGTCTTTTGTGATCATGTGATGGAAATGTTTTATGATTATATAATTCATTCCACCACACCTAATAATGTCATCCTGTGTTTAAACCGGTTAGTCTTTATTTGAAAGATTGTTAGTGCGCTCATGTTTAATAAACCTGTGTGCATAATATAATATATATATAGATTCGTATAATATACTTACAACTATTCGTACGTTACACATTTATTAAATGCGTGTGCATAAACAATGTATGTTCAGCACTGATTGTGGAGCGGCATGTTGTGCGCATGCTTTGATGACCAAACACACACACATTTGTGACGCAGCGGACATGACGCCATGCCGCGCGACCTTACGATGGGTATATTTTTCTGAAGCGCATGAGAGGTGCGCGTGCGCCTGCTGCGCTCTGTAAAATCGTTTGAGTGGCTTTCAGGGGATGGTGCGTTCGCGTTGCGTTCATGTATGAAGCTTGAAGAGGTCATTTTCCTGCCGGTTCTCAAAACCTCGCGGTTAATGCGCTCGCGCTCCGTTACCGGCCAGTGGCGAGACGCGCACGAGCTCATGTGGCTTACTGTGATTTGAGTAGTTTTATGTTTTATTCCAGGTTTACGTCTCCGCACGGCTGCGCTGGTTTAGCTAGTTCAGGTGAGTCTTTGTTGGTTTGCGATTGATTCTGGTTTAGTTAGTTCAGGCTTAAATCTCAGCGCAAGTGAGTTGGGCTTGGGTTGGTTAGGATCGAGTTTTAATGTCAGGTGAGTTAGTCAGGATTAATCACAGCAAGGGTATGGTGGGTTAGTGGTCAGTTTAGTTGCAGGTCAGTTGAATCAGTTCAGCACAGGTCTATTGGTTAGGTTCAGTTTGACATGACAGGTCAGCTGGGTTACAGATAGTTCAGGTGTCAACTAGGTTTGAAATCACAGGTGTCTGTTAAGCTTAGGTTGGAAGTCATATATGTGTTGTGTGAGGGTAAGTTTGGTTCATGTGTGTTGGCTTTAGACAGTTGTCAGGGAAATCACAGGTGGGGTAGGTTTAGTTTAAGCTCTGCCGTGATGGCTAAAGGTGAGTGGAAGAGGTCAGGCACAGATGATGTCCAGTTAACTGGCCGCTCTGAGTGTGAAGTGTTCGATGATGGAACCAACACCTTCTTCTGGTGAGTTCACGCCACTCATGTTATGGTGATGTTTATGTTTATTAACTGATTGTGTGTGCTTTGATTTCATTGCCTTTCTGTGGTGAATGTGTGTAGGTAGGGATATGATGTTGTGTGTGTGTGTGATGTCCAGAGGCTGTTCAGCTTTGCACGGCTTTTCTCTCTTCTGCAGCCTCAGCAGAATGACACCCGATCAATTAAAGGCTTTAAGACGGACAGATGCTGTGGAAGAGACTCTTTCTCTCCTAGTCTCTTACACCGAACTGTAAAGAAGAAAAACACGACAGATCGGTGTATCGATTTATAAACGTTAAACGAAGAGTGACATTTGATATATTTCATAATATCCCAAAGAATCACAAATTACTGTAATAATAAAAATAATATTAATAATAATGTTTTTGTTAATCGCAATAATTATAATCTTAATAATGATTGTGTTAATAATATTATTGATAATAATCCAATAACGTTTATGCTAATTGTCTGCATAAATTGTTTGTTTTAGTTTTCAGTCAATATTTAGAAGTTGTTTTTGTTTTTAATCTTGATTTTTAATGCAGTAATTAATGTAATCAGATTACTATAAATCAAATGATCGTTGTTAATATTTATGATGATGATAATAATAATAATAGAAATAGAAATCCAATAGTACTAATTGTTTTTCTTTGTTGTATTGTAAATTGTAAGGCCTAAAGTGATGATTTTTCCTAAATTCTATATACAACATATATATTTAGTTATTTATTTATTTAGTTGTTTTGTTATTTTATTTATTTATTTTTGTTCAAAACAGTAGTGTTGTCTTGACTTAAATTTTTAAATGCTATGCTTTTCTCAATTAAAAGGCTTTGAAAAGTTATTATTTAAAGCTACCTTCATTTTTTTATTTGCTTTTATAGGTAACAGCCATACATGTTAAGAATAAAAACTTTACCTCTTAAAGGTCAAATTGCCTCTTGAAAATCAATTCCAAGAACTGTATTTTCTGTAATAAACTGCTGCACTGATCTCTTCTCTCTCCCCCTATGTGTGTTGAGGTGTGGTTGTGTTTATGATCAACCTGTATACCAGCTCAGCAGGTTTTGAATGTGGAAAAAAAGCTCAAACCAGACTTCTGCCAATAATGTTTGAATGCAAGCACTGTACTCTTGTTTCGTCTTTTTCTCTGCAGGAGGGCACATACTGTGACTGTGCTGTTCATCCTTTTTTTTAAATTTTTTTTATTCTCTCGGGTGAAAAATGAATAGGAAAAATACTTCTGGAACCAAGGTCACTAAAAATGTGGGCGGCCATTGTTTCTATTCATTCTTCTATTTCATTCATTAGCATTCACCTAGCAACGTCCTAGAATCACCATGGCAGCGTATTTTACACAGAAATAACCACTCATTTTCTCCAGTGTTTGTTTTTAATTTGTGTATTTTTTCTCTTTTTCAGAGGAATTGTGGCCAGTATTCTGGTGTTCCTTTGTTTTGGAGTAACACAAGCTAAAGATGGACCCTTCACACGTCCTCACCCAGGTCAGACCAGTAACCTTTACATGATCTAACCCTAACTGAAGTCAGAACAGTAACCTTTATTCAGAGATGATTTAACCTTAACCCAGGTTTCACATCACCTTCAGGTCAGCTTTGAGAGGCTGTAATTGTGAGGTCTTCTGCTGCTGTTGAGGTGGAGTAGCTAAAAGTAGTGACTTAACCACAGGTTTCAGTAATGTGACAGTCGCTCAGCTGTTTTAAGAATAACACCGCTTTTCCAGTAACACGCTTTCCAACAACTAACAGTGATGCGTGACTAAACAAATACATCATTGTTTTTCACATTGCATTACAATTGTGTGAGCTGATGCAGTCATCATATAGTCTTCTAAAGGTGCCTTGCAAGTCATGTTGAGAAGACTGGTTCATTTGTCTTCTTCTCAGTCATTTGAGTCACTCAGTAGTGTTCCCAGAAGTCTGTACATGGAATTTTATGTTTTCTTTTGTGTTGCAATATAAAGGTAAATAATTAAGCTGCAGATGATCCCTTTTTTAGAATTGATTATGTAGGAGTTTTCAGAAGTTATTTTTACCGTAAATTAAGGCTGCACACTTAAGAATAAATAAATAGTAGTATAAATATTATAATTGTAATTTTACAGTTCTGTATAGTAAATTTTATCTTAAATGTTTTTTTTTACTTTAATTTACAATAATTTTATAGTGTTTACAATATTATTAATAATTCTATTGAGTAGTAATCAGCACCCTAATATAAATAATTTTAATAATAAATAAGTTTGTTTTATTTCTATATCGTACTTTATGCAGTCCTAAAAAAAACCAGAGATGTGTTCAGTAAGGTTTTACCAGAAAAGACTTTAGATTTTTTTTTTTTTATCATATGTTAATTTAAAAAACCTTGTGTTATTTTATCTGCTGCATTTTTTTTATTTTGTGTTTGTAACTCTTTTATTATTCCAACTCCATTTTTTTGCCATGAAGATAGACTTCGATGCTGACATGGAAATAAAATTAAATAACTACTACTACTACTTTTTATGTGCAGCCCAAAATTACATTTAAAATTGCAGTTCGAATTTTTATTGGGAAAAATGGCAATGTGCATTTCGCAGCCCTATTGTACATTTGTGTTCGAATTTGATGCTTTCACTGTAAATCATCTTTGTGTGCCTGAGAAACATAGCTTTTGTAGTAGCTGCTACTTATTAATTTGTAACATAGCTAACTAATCAAAGACATAGACTGACAGTAGTTTAACTTCTTTAAATTATGAGAATATAAGGTACTGTATGAAGTAGATTTCTGAGACCGTTTCAACATAAGAAACAATGAGTATATTTTCATAGCAACAGTAACTCACAACTCCTTCAAAACACACTCTGTTGAGCTCGGTGTTATGAGGGCCGACTTGCTTTGCTGGCCGAGCTGGATCAGAGCTTTCAATGCATCTCTCACAGATACCTGAAAGATGATTGAAGGTCTCCTCCTCCGGTCATTGAAGCCTCTCTCTTGGCACGAGATAACAGACAAATGTAGACACAAATTATAAGTTGGGCTAACTGTCACCGTGAGCGGTGTTAAATTTCAATCCAGTGAGGTAGTTTTAGAAGAAGCATCTGGGGTCTCCAACATAGAGACAGTCTTTAGAGATGTAGATGCAAACAAATGGTTGTAGTCAAAAGGGCTTCACAGTCTTAATCTCAATTCCTTAATTCAAGCATGTTAACATAAAAAAAAATGGTGTTTGAGTTTCTTTTTTACATATTGACCAAATGCTTGATTATTGTATCTGATGGCTCACAGAAACATTGAAATAGCTTGAATAATTGCTATATTTATGTTGCTGAAAGAAAAATATTTTCTGTAATTTTAAAATGGTTCTATAATACATTGGCTATAATTGTATTTTTTAACTGAAGTTGTATTGTTATTGAGATTCATTTATAATTTGTACTGTTTTGAGTTTGCCATGAAAATAATATCTCTGATGATATGGCAAAGTAGCCATACAATCTTAAATAATCAACACACCCCAATAACCCAAATGCAGATGAATTGTAATAGTTCAGGTGTGATACAGAAAACAAACATTTCAATCATCCAACATAAACCCCCCCACAATTCTGTAGTTATTTGTATATTAGCGCATCAGTATTTTTAGTGCTTTTATATGTTTAAATGAGAGTTAATGTTTATGGGTAAGTGTTTGTCTTTTGCAGCATACTGGCGTTTCTGGCTATGCGTTTCTGTTGTGTATGAACTCTTTCTCATCTTCATCCTGTTTCAGGTTTGTTATCAGCTTCAAAAACACAACTTTACATATATTTTGTCCATATTGTGTCATATTGAAATCTCTGGTTTGTCTTTCAGACAGTGCATGATGGCAGGCAGTTTATGAAATACATTGACCCAAAACTTGGCGTCCCACTTCCTGAAAGAGGTTATGGCGGGAACTGCCTCATTTATGACCCTGGACATCCTGCCGACCCCTTCCACAATATCTGGGTATGTATTAAAATCAATATTAATAAACGACATTGACACTGGTAATACAGATGCATCCGTTACGGAGGGTTGCGCATATGGCTAGTCACTTAAATATCCATCTGATCATTCATCACAGATTTATTATGCATATACAGTATGTTACAAATAATGTACAGTCATTTGTGTATGACAAACTCTGTAATGATGATAACTGTCTGACTGTACATTATCCTACTCTTACATGGTTATTTTCTAAATAAATAAATAGACATGAAATATCTATATAAATTGAAATATTATTAAGAGGATACAGTGTGATATTAGAGACATAAAACTAGCACAGCTATGTAGAAACAACATGAATCAGCATTTAATTCTGTAATTTGATGTATCCCCGGGCGCCGCAGCATAAATGGCTGCCCACTGCTCCGGGTGTGTGTTCACGGTTTGTGTGTGTTCACTGCTGTGTGTGTGCACTTTGGATGGGATAAATGCAGAGCACTAATTCCGAGTATGGGTCACCATACTTGGCCACATGTCACTTCACTCACTTTATTTCCAAATCAAACCGATTTAAAAAAAAAATTTAATATGAAAACACTTTTTCTTTAAAATAACATGCACTGATTAATTGGTAAGGCCAAGGTAATTTATTTAAAGAAATAGAGCACATTTTAATTTCATGTTGTATTTAATACTTGAGTTTGATTTTGCAGCAGGAAAAAATTAGGGTTATTTTTATTATTATTTTATTATTTTCCCAACAGGACAAAATGGATGGATTTGTTCCTGCCCATTTTCTCGGCTGGTACATTAAGGTTGGTCAAAATCTGATCTGTGAACGCGCTACCACATGCCTAAAATCAGCAGATGAACTATTAGATAATAATTTGAAACTATTAGTCATGTGTTTTATGTCTGTGTGTCAGACGCTGGTGATCAGGGACTGGTGGATGTGTATGATCATCAGTGTGATGTTTGAGTTCCTGGAGTACAGTCTCGAACACCAGCTGCCCAACTTCTCTGAGTGCTGGTGGGACCATGTGAGTAAAACAAACCAAATACACCCTGTGAATCATGCAGATAAAACAAATCCTCATGAAGTGACTTTCTCCTGCTGCAGTGGATCATGGATGTGTTGGTGTGTAATGGGTTGGGCATATACTGTGGCATGAAGACTCTCGGTTGGCTCTCCATGAAACCGTATCAGTGGCAGGGATTGTGGAACATCCCAACATACAAGTAAAAACACGATAAACCTGTGAAAAGACGTGTCTGCAGGTCAAACACACTGAACTGTTATGACATTCTGCAGTTTTGTGTTTCAGGGGGAAAATCAAACGTATTGCCTTCCAGTTTACCCCGTACAGCTGGGTGAAGTTTGAGTGGCGCCCCGCATCTAACCTGCGAAGATGGCTGGCGGTGTTGGGTATTATTTTCACGGTGAGTCACATGATCAGTACATGCAATCACTGCACAATGATTTTGAATGAAAAATTATGCAGTTTTCTCTCACTTATTATTTGCAGTTCTTATTGGCGGAGCTGAATACGTTCTATTTGAAGTTTGTGTTGTGGATGCCTCCTGAACATTATCTGGTGCTTCTGCGGCTCGTCTTCTTTGTGAATGTGGGTGGAGTGGCTATGCGAGAGATCTATGACTTCATGGATGATCCGTAAGTTCGCTCTAGATCTGTTGTCTATGTAGGCTGCTACCTTCTAAGACAGCATTCTGGCTTAAAGGAACAGCTCACCCAAAAAGGAAATTTTACTCTACTTCAGGCCATCCAGGATGTAGAGGTGTTTGTTTGTTTCATTCTTACATCACATTACATCACTTGCTCACCAATAATCCACACGATTCCAGTTCATCATTTAATGTCTTGTGAAGTGAAAAGCTTATTATAAACATGCAGATTTGTGCTTCACAAGATGTTAATTGATGGATGGGAGTCGTGTAGATTATTGTGATGTTTTTATCAGCTGTTTGAACTCCCATTCTGACGGCACCCATTCACTGCAGAGGATCCATTGGTGAGCAAGTGATGTAATGCTAAATTTCTCCAAATCTGTACCAATGAAGAAACAAACATCTAAAGTACATCTAGGATGAACTTTCAGCAAATTTTCCTTTTTGGATGAAATATTCCTTTAATCTGACGCAAGCAGCGGTTTCTTTAACATCTAAATCCTTTGGAAAGTTGACTTGCATGTAGCTAAGATAATGATTTGATGCTTTTGATGCACATTTATTGGGTGAAAGTTAATTTGTGTTTAAAATCAGTTTCCCTCAATTCTTCCTTCTATTTTGGAAGTCATTTGCAAATAAACAGCTGTGCTTTTTAAAATTTTTGTTGTTTGTAGTGGCTTTTTTTTCATGTTAATGAGGCCTAAAAATATGATCTAGTTAGGCAGCTCACTAGGAACTGGGTTTTTTTCTGTGCTGCCATACATTTATTGTGTGTTAACTGTGTTTGTAGTAAGTAAATCTAATGTATCTTTTGGATTCTAGGAAATTCCATAAAAAGTTGGGCCAGCAAGCGTGGATTGTGGCAGCCATCACTGTTACGGAGTTTCTGATCGTGGTCAAATACGATCCCAACACTATCATGCTGCCAATCCCCTTCTTCATCACACAATGCTGGATACTCGGAATCGTCCTCATCCTCATTTGGACCTTGTGGCGGTTCTTCATCCGGTAATAAACCTGCAATCGCTGCATGGCGATTCGTGGATCGATTCTGAGATTTTCGGAATGCATTACGATTCTCTCTGGAATCGATTCTGAGCTTAGTTTTTAACAGCAGATGGTGCTCTAGACTAGTTTTTAACCGCACTCTCAAATGCTCACAAAGAAGAACCCTTGTGTGTTCGGCCATGTAAGTGGTTATGTACTTGCACCTCAGCTTTTAAGATGTGAGATTAATGTAAACAGCCCACTATGAGCATCCTTGTAATTCGCTTCAACTGTATGAATGATTATTTTATGTTCAAGTGTTTTGTGTGTAAGAAACTGGAATCAAGCAAGAGTATGGCTGTTTCTGAAGCACACAGTGCCATCAGCTGTTCAAAACTAAGCTCAGAATCGATTCAAGAGAGAATTGCGATGCATTCGGAAAATCTCAGAATCGATGCAGAGTAATTACTCGATTCGCAATGCATTGATTTATTATCCCAGCCCTAATTATTAATAACAAATTAATTTCTTGCACAAAATATAATTTTCAAGCTTTTATTTGAAGATAAATCATATCCAAATAGTCAAAATGACTATCAAGGCTCTTTTCAGAATGGTATTTACATGTATACTGCCCCAGTATATACTATTCTGCTTATAATTTTTTTAAGAATAAAACAAGAATAGTGTGTGTGTATATATGAGAATTTTGTTTTAAGTTTATTGTTTTTAAAAATGTATATACACATTGTAGATAATCTGCAACATATATATATATGTATGTATGTATGTATATATGCATATAAAATAAATGTATTTATTTAATTGTCAGAATCAGGAAGTCATCCTAAAAAAACTGCTGCAGATGCAATATTATATGCTGCAAAAATAATAGTTTGTTAGTGTATTATATATATATATTAATTAAAGATTTAGGAAGTGATTAAATGTCCTGACTAACATGTTAACTGACCAAGTGTTTTGTGTTGACAGTGACATCACACTCCGATACAAAGAAACACGCCGGCGCAGACAGGAAGGGTCTTCGGAGCGGGACAGAGTCCCTGGACACGCTGACGGCAGCAATTTAGCCACATCAGGCCGTAGCAAACTAAACGGCAGTATGGACACAGTCCGACACAGGAAGCCATGAATGCATCCTTCCACACACAAACAGCCGTGCACTACACATCGCGACTGGACACACGTTTGTGTTTATAATCCTGTTCAGATCATACCAACGCTCATGGTGTCTGTCGAGCGGCATCCAGAGAGATGATGCCATCATTTTCTCTCCCTGCGGAGAGGGTTGTTGTGTATATTTAGAAAAAATATGTCTTTGTAGCTGTTACATAGGTGAGGCGTTTAGGGTTCGGGGTTCACTGTCCCTCTGGTTTTGGGTTTATTGATCGGTGCTATGCAGGAAAACACATTTCGATGCAGAACACTATGCAGTAAACTAACAGTAGAGGAAGTGCACAACTGCACATACAGCCATTTATGAATAAAACTATTGTTTTTAAGTTACATTTAGCGGGTAGGAACACAGGAAACATCCTGCTTGAGCTACAACACTATATTTAAAAAGCTATGAGAATGTAATTATTTAATCGGCTGTGCCCTTCTGCTATGCTTAGGATGCTAAAGGAAGTTAGCGTGCCTGTTACACAAGCACCTCACACAAGGACAATCCTTCTGACCTGTTAAACACGGGTCAGTGCCATGACTGGACCAAAATCGAAGAACTTTACTTTTCATTTGCATGTGTGAATGTGTGCGTGAGACCATAACGGCCAAAACATTCATCATGCTGATGCTGTGTTTATTTCTGCAGGGAAACCACAGATAAATAATAAAAAAAAAATCATCAGGAAGTCATCCCAAAGTTTATTCGTTAAGTGTATTGGGCCGTTCGTGTATCTGGTCACAGTGGTAGTGGTAGTCCGTCTGTATTCTGATAATGTGCAAGTCCAAAAACGGCCTGATCTGATGTATCAAATGCCATAATAATCTTACTGTGAATGTAAACGTCTAGCACTAGTTTGACTTCAGCACCAATGCCTGAGCTGTTACTGAAGGTCTTTAGGGTTCGCTTTGATTTAACTATGAGGGGAAAGTTAAAATCGCAGTATATGTTCTCGTCCGAATGATCAGGATTATCTCTCTGAAATCTTTGTGGGACCATTTGATGATCTGTCTGCCTCTGCTTATAGTGGTTCATGTAAACATGTTACATAGAAATGAACAACTGAGTTCATATTTTATAATGTTTTCAATAAATAAAAAAAGGAGTTCTTCCTCTTTAACTGTCTTTTTAATTTATGAAATGCGTTACATTCATATACATTTTCCTAAAAACAGCCAATATGTAAGCTGAAGTCTATGAAAAGTGAGCTTATTTGATTCAAAGCACAAGCAGATTTGATTTCAGGTAAGCCTTTTTTAGTCTTTTTCTTTGTTTGTGTTAGTTTCAAACTAGTGAAATGTAGGATTCATGTAAGAAATTGAGTTAATTTGTATTTTTTTTAATTATTATTTATGCTATAATCAAGAGCCAAACTTATTTTGCAATTAAAAAAGACAAACTTATTGCTGTTTTTATTTTAGTTTACAATTGTTTGAAACCGGGTAAGAATTCTCTAGTTCTCTTTCTTCCTAAAATCGCTTTTTACCCCCTGCTTTTTTATTATTATTATTTAGTTTTAGGTACCCCAAGTCAACCATATTATTAGGCATTGTTGACCGATTTTATTCGTTGCTATCCATATAACCATATTCATGTCACTATTATTAAACCTAGACTACATTAAAACTACATTTCCCAGCGCACCGTGCCTGTAGTCAGATTGTAGTCCAGAAGCTGCTTTGTAGTCCGGAAGTGTTGCGTTCAATGTTTTGGGGTCGGAGAGCACGAATGAGGTAGTTAACGTTTAACTTGAGTTGTAATCCTGTGACAGATGGCGAATAAATCGGATCTGGGCGCTGTTCGCTTCTGCTTTTTGCACGCGCGAGTTTGTTGGTCACAGAATAAGAAATAAAGCACGCCAGGATGGCAGATAAAGGATTGCTGAAGTGGACAGTTATCGTGCTCACATGTCAACATAGAGACAGTGTTTATGCCTTCCAGAGAGGTGAGTTCATCATTTATTCTCATCGTATGCCTGTGCTGATTTATTAAAAAGAAGGTATATGTACATTTCTTTGAGTTTTTATTGAATCCATTTGGGCAGCTAGTATTAGTATTACTCTGGATTGTTTGGGACTTTAAATTATGGTAATACCAAAGTATTCTTTAAAGTATCTTAAATTAAGTACATGAATTTAGGTGCCATATTATTATACCAAATTACTATATGGTATTATCATCTGATGCCATCAAAGTACCGTGGTATTACTATCTGATGCCTACTATGGAACCACCACAGTACTTGGTTGTAAAAGGGTCTAGATCTCCAGACCAGGTGTAGGTAGATCTCATGAGGTTTGTGTGTGTTTCAGAGCTGGAGGTGCGTCAGAAGCGTGGTGTTCTTCCGGAGGATGCCCTGCTGCTGACCGTTCCTGACCCTCACGCCCGACTGGGCAGCGGTGGGGCCACACTGAACGCCCTGCTGGTGGCTGCAGAACACCTGAGCGCCAGAGCCGGATACAGCGTGAGCTTCACATTACAATAGAGGGGTCTGTGTGTGTGTGTGTGTGTGTGTGTGTGTGTGCAGATGGTTGGAGGTTTGGAGAGGAATCCTAAAGTATGTGTGCAGGATTGCCAAAGGAAATTCTTGAACCTAAAGGACCCATATGGGATAAAGATCCTTAAAGATTTATACTACCGATCAAAAGTTTAAAATAATTACGTTTTTTTTTATATAAAAAAAAAGCATTTTATTCTCACCATGACTGCATTTATTTGATTCAAAATAAATCATTAATGCAGTGAAATATTATTACAGTTTAAAAGAACTGTTTTCTATGTTAATATATATTAAAATGTAATTTATTGCTGTGATGCAAAGCTGAATTTTCAGCATCATTACTCCAGTCTTCTTGAAATTTTTACTGTTTAAAATTGTTATTAATATAATAGAAATAAAAACTGTTTAGGATATATTAAAATAGAAATGGACAATTCTGTATACATCCTTGAATGAATATAGATTTCATATTGCTTATTCAGCACTGAGATAGTTGTGTTCATGATACATGACCAGAATAGAGTTTTCTCTGTACTTTGTCTTCAATTCATAAGGATCTTCCTCTAAAATATACTTAAAGTCCCCTAAATGTGCATGTCTGTGTTTAGGTGGTGAACGCAGATGTTCTGGATGAAGCTCACATTCTTATCCTTCACACGGTCTGTAATAAAAAAAGCATTTTAGATGAAGATTCTTCTCAAACGTGTGCTTATAGGTGTGTGTGTGTTTCTAGGGCAGAGATTTCCCATGGGACGGCTGCAGCAGGGCTTTCTGCTGGATGCCCGTACAGAGATCAGATGCTGTAGAAGGAGCCGTTTGCTGTTTAGACCTGCTGTTAGACTGTCTGTCCACAAAGGTGAGCAGAACAAATGCACAGTTATGCTATATACATGAATTCATGCATCTCTCCCTCCCTCTCTCTCGATCTCTCTCTCTCTCTCTCTCTAACCCACTTAAAATGTTTATATATATATATATATATATATATATATATATATATACAATGTAATACAGTGAGGTGAGTGCATTATTATGAAAATGCCTGAAACATTCTATTGTTTCAGATTTGTGCTGGTTCTCCGCCAGGCGTTTGGGTGTGCAGCACTGATGTGATCCTGAATATTCCAACACGACAGCGTGAGCTAACATCTATATAATAACACATCTAATGCACAAACTTGTTTGTGCATGTTTTTACTGTTGCTTTTATTGATTTTCTTTATAGTGATTTCATGGGACGGGTTCTCTGGGGTTCGGGTTGTGGCATTGCCAGGTGATGTTAGTTTTGCTGTTAATCATGGCGTCTATCTCACTGATGCAGAGGTGCGTTATTGAAAATTAGGGTGATTTTTTTTTTTTTTTTTAAATTGCACTTGTGTATCATTTTGTGAGGAATGTTTAATTTTTGCTTTTACAGGCCAGAGTATGTAACATTATCTATAAGGGCTCAAAGGAGAAGATCAGCTGTGCTGCACTGCCTGATGGGAAAGTACCCCTGGTATGAATTTGTTTGGTAATGTTTGTTGCTATATGTAAATGTACTTTGTTTAAAGATGTATTAGATGTTTTGTTTGCATCTTGAATTGTTTTTGTGATGCTTCCTAAAAGTGTCTTTGTGCTCAGGTTTCCGGCCCGGTGTTTTTCTCTAGGACTGTGGCAGAGAAACTCTTACAGACTCATGTTACGTCACCATTGGACGGCTGTACGTATCTTGGCATGGATTCGGGAGCTCCACCGCTTGAGGTAAAAACACGGACAACATAGTTCTTTTCTCCGACTGGTCTCTCCCTCTCATTTTTCTTGCTCTCCCTTGCAGATATCTCTTTTTCTGGATATTCTGCTGTGCCTTTGCTCTGACCTGACAGAGCATGAATTCATCAATGGAGAGAGAACAGGCTGCTCTTCACCCTCCGGACCTCAGGGGGCAGTAGTGAGGAGCGGCCGCGCTGTGCTGTGGAGGACCCTCAGGGGACCCTCCATCTCGATGTGTACTGTTTCACTATTTTTTTTGTCTCTACATTATAAAAAAGTTTGTTTGGGAATGAAATACTAGCCTACTGAATACAGCATAGTATACTGTATATTGGATAATGCATACTATTTAAAAAAATGTGAAACCGCATACTGTTATGTAAACAGTTTAATTGCAATGTGCTCTTTTATACTTTTTAAATGCAACGTGCACTTTTATATTCTTTATATATTTTATGCTGCAATATGTGGTTAAATGTAGGCTACATGGGTTTTCCATGCATACTGTAAATCTGTATACTTTCCTCAGTATGCCTACTGTATATGCCTAACGTAGCCTTTGTTTGTTTCCAGTGTACGTTCCAGATAGTTGCTATGATTATTTGACTCAATCAGGCCGAGAACATGTCATTCGTCTGACAGAAACTGGAACTGAGACGATGATTCTCTCTCATATTCAGGTGGGAAATGTTGGGAACGTCTCTGGGATTTTTTAATAAACATTTTTAACCTTTTTGCAATACGATTTCTGCTTTAAAGGATGTGAAGTCTGTGGCAGAAGGCAGCAGGGTGATTAATAGCATCCTGGAAGGAGATGTTCATGTATCAGCGGGAGCTGTTGTGCAGCACTGCCACCTACAGGTCTGGAGGGTTTAACTTAATCTTAGTCTATTAACTCTTTAAAGATATGAAATCAAAACTGACACAATTTTTTCTCACTGAATATGATGTTTTTATAAAACATCACATTACTGACATGAAATCTGTTGTGAATATTTGGGTATGTGGTTTTTCTATATTTATACAGTTTTTCATTTCCATCCTGAAAAGTATGACCCACATTTACTGTTATTGTATAAAACAAAATCTGTTTTTTTATTGTACAGTACCATTCATACTGTTGAAATAGTAATATATTTTATTGATTTGTTTAATTTTTATAATTTAAGTAATAATAAAATATTATTTTGACATGATGATTTCTTATGAATTATTATTATATTGAACAGGGGAAACCAGTTTTTCCTTCGTTTTTATAAAACATCACATTACTGACATGAAATCTGTTGTGAATATTTGGGTATGTGGTTTTTCTATTTTTATACAGTTTTTCATTTCCATCCTGAAAAGTATGACCCACATTTACTGTTATTGTATAAAACAAAATTATTATTGATCTGTTTTTTTTATTGTACAGTGCCATTCATACTGTTGAAATGGTTATACATTTTATTGATTTGTTTAATTTTTATAATTTAAGTAATAATAAAATATTATTTTGACAAATGATGATTTCTTATGAATTATTATTATATTGAACAGGGGAAAACTGTTTTTCCTTCTTTTTTTTTGTCCTTTGCTGATCACATGCCTGAATAATACAGTTATCAAAATGTGCCAATGTCAATTGCAGGGTCCAGTCCAGGTGCATTCTGGGTGCCTGCTGTCAGGGCTTGATTTGACTTCATCCTGCATCCAGCGACTACCCCTGTCCAGTGACATCATCATTCAGGGGCATCGAGTGATGCTGGGAGAGCTAAAGTTAAGAGTGTTCACAGCTTTTGGAGCTCATGACAATTTAGAGGTGAATTTAGAGCCTGTTACATTTCATTTTTTATATAATTTTGAGAACAATATAAATAAGAAAATGTA